ACGATGATGCAACACGTTTTGTTTATGCTAACAGCAACACGACCATCATGTCAGGCTAACAATCAACATATACCGAACCGAACCGAAAACTGTGTCCACGAAACCGTGAACCGAACCGAACCGTGGATTTTGTGAACCGTTCCACCCCTAGCTTGGTAATAGTCTTATATCAGGGGTGTCAAACTGGTTCCAGAAAGGGCCGAGTGGCTGCAGGTTTTCTTTCTAACCAAGCAATAGCACACCAGACTCCTATCATCTCATCAAGTGAGTCCAATCTGAACATGATGACATTATGAAATGACTGGAGTCTGGTGTGCTATTGCTTGGTTGGAAAGAAAACCTGCAGCCACTCGGCCCTTTCTGGAACCAGTTTGACACCCCTGTCTTATATCCTTTACTTTTAACTTGCCTATTTTGTGTACAATTATTATTCTAATCTCCTGAGACACACTTTACTTTCTCTGGTCCATGTTGAGTGTGGTACACACCATGTCGCCAAAAAACATACGCCCAATTTACACTATCTGTATGAAACCGATCCGTGCCGAGTTCGAACCGAGCTTAGATCAGTTAACTGTGCAGAGTTTGGTTTCTTACGGCCATTTACACATCACACTACTATGGTTCCTCGCCCCCTATAGGTGTCCACGATACTGCAGCTCTCAAGTCGGGAATTACACAAACAAAAATGGTGGCGTTCATAGGAACTTACGTGCCTGGATAGCGTCCTCTGCCTTTGTCATTATCCCAGGTCGCACCACGCTGTTTTGATGCCATTTATTGTTAATAGGCTGGTTTTGAGCTGTGCAAAGCCCCACTGCTGAGCAAGTACTAGATTACAATGTCTGACTTTCATTTGTTTATATCTATAGAATTTTTTTTTTAATCATAACATTTGTAAGATTGTAGTTATTTCTGTACTTAGAGTGGGTTTTTCTTAGGGGTACCAATATAATGTATAACCAAAATTTGTGGTGAAATGCACTGGACTGGACCAGATGTCAGTCAAAGAGCTGCTGCTGTCATAAAAATTTGCATAGAGTCTTGAATTTCTGTATAGCTGGGACAAATTTGAACACAGTGGCCTGCTATGCTAAAATGCAATGCAAGAATCCTGGTATCTACAGTTTGCCCTGCAACCAAAGGGTTGTCAGTTCAAACCCCAGCTCCAGCTTTCAATGTCGTGTGCAAGACACTTAATCCGTATTCCCTAATGAGAGTGATCAGAACACTAGTTTTGGACTATTTATTTTTCTTTTCATGCCTGGCCCTGTGTCGCTAACTCACTTCATTGCTTCTCCCATTTACATAATATATGGTTCTCTTTATTGTTTATTTACCTCCAATCAGGTTGTCTTGTTATGATAAATATACACAAAGGACTCTGATTACTACAAAACAGGTGAAACACAGAAAAATATCTGGCCAACATTGTCCAATAATCAAATCTGAGGACCTTTTTTATGCAACCAGATTTAGATACTTGGTAGAAATTCATGAGGACGTACTACGTGACTAGATCCTTAAAGGAATAGTACACCCAAAACATGATTAGCCTTTGTTTTCTATTCACCCCCATGCTGAACAACACTCTGGAGTACTTTTTTGATATCTCAAATGCATCTGGAGATCTGGGAGGCTTCTTGCTGTCTGCTGACATTCAAATAATGGAGGTCTATGGCGCCCGAGGCAGAAAGGTCCATAAAAGTCCACAAAAAACGTGTCAATATTCCTCCATACTGCTCGTCCAATGTATTCCAAGTGTCCTGAGTGGGTAGCATCCAGAATTTACTCGAAACGAAGTCATTTAGAATGTTTTTAGAGCATAAACAGTAGTGTATAGGATTTCCTGAAAGCGCGCGCCTGCGAGTTCACGAGTCTACGGAAACCGCGGCAGACCAAGCCAGATGAAAGTGCGCATTCAGCTCGGCAAAGAACTCATGCTCTTCCTCAACACTGAAGTCCTCAGACATTTTTATTTCGTTGTTTCTTTCTTTGCACAGGTAAACAGCACATTTCTTCTTCTACGCTTGCATTATCGGCAGAGCAGACGCTGAATGCGCACTTTCATCTGGTTTGGTCTGCCGGCTTCCGTAGCGTCGTGAACGCGCATGTGCGCGCTTTCAGGAAATCCTATACACTACTGTTTATGCTCTAAAAACATTCTAAATGACTTTGTTTCGAGTAAATTCTGGATGCTACCCACTCAGGACACTTGGAATACATTGGACGAGCAGTATGGAGGAATATTGACACGTTTTTTGTGGACTTTTATGGACCTTTCTGCCTCGGTCACCATAGACCTCCATTATTTGAATGTCAGCAGACAGTAGAAAATGAAGCCTAATCATGTTTCCTTTAACAGCAACAAAAAAAATCCAAATAAATTAAGAACATGCCTGCATGAATAACTTCAGTCATTTTCAAACCAGGTAAAGTGATATAACGGCATCCTTAAGTTTTTAAGGGATCAAATAGTTTTTCGCATGCAGGCCAATATTCAGGAATGAAGTTAATGCTGGATATTTTGTTTCATTGGACTTTGGTGGGTTATTTCTTCGCACAGTCACTTTTTTTTTCTACAATCCAACTCTAGAACAACCCATAGTCTGGCCCTTCCCCCAAAATGCCACCCCATGACTTCTTTTACACAACCCTAAAAGCACACACCTCAGTTTAATCAGTTCACACACACTTAAAACCCCAACCCCCACCAACCCCACCCTAAACCTCTGGCTAATCTCTTCAAAGGAAGATGCTATCAGTCCAAAGTGAGGCGCGCTGAAGCGCACTGCAGCTGAGACCCCACACCTTCTAAAAGAACCTTTAAATAAACTCTTGTAGAAGAATTTTGCACTTCAAGACGTGGAAACCACTCCACTTGTCCTAAAGATGCTATTTTGATTTTCCACCTAAAATAATATAAATCGACATCACCGCCATCAAATCAAGCTCAAGGTCTTAAGGACACTTTGCTAAAGCATCACCTCAGATAAATGTTTTAATATTTGGCTTTTGATCAGATAGCAAGATAAGCTTTAAAGAAATTATCCAATAAAAGGCAAGACAAAGAGCAAACACTGCTGAAAGGGTTGGACAGTCACAGGAAGGGTCCCTTGGGGTTTTTTCCTTAAATCTGCCACTCCCTTCATCCCACTATCCCACATGCTGCACTCCAGGAACTACAAAGCACTGTTTGTTCAATTGATCAACTCAGCCTGCCAGGCTTTACTTGGAGTCTTTCCCAGCTTTTAACCTAAACAGTGTTTCTGGTGCGATTTAAGCCAATCCTTACTCGATTTGTTTCCTAAAGAAGTAGGAAATACTTAAGAGAGAGGCCAAAGTTCTTCTATTCCAATGGGAATTGATGTAAAAAAAGGATTTATGGCTTTATAACAAAAAACATTAGTGGGTTTAATTAGGATTTGATGTGATCACAAGAGGGCGGGTAGATTCGCAGCTGTGGATCTCTGCAAAGCTTCCGGATTTACAATGAGCTCTTCTGATTAATCCTCTGTTTGCTTGGTCAGTTCAGGTAAATGGCCACGTCTGGCGGGCGGGCAGATGTGTCCTTCTCTTTTCATTTGTTTTTTAAATACCAAACGAATACATTAAGGTGTGTGGGTTTGATGTCAAAAAATGCTTTTTCCAGGAAGTGTGTATATCTACACTGGAAAAATGATCTAGAAATAACAAAAAATTTCTTAAATTAAGTGTATTTACCCTTAATTTGAGTAGGTAAATGAGATAGTGAGCCAATGGAATGAGCATTTTTACTCTTAAAATAAGACAAATAGATGATATGCACTTGAAATATGACAATGCGATTGTGTTTTCTTATTTTAAATGTAAATTGTCTTGTTCCATTGGCAAAATGTCTCTTTTACCTCCTCAATCCAAGAACAAATGCACTTATTTTAAGAAAAAATGACTTATCTAGATTTCGATTTTTTCCAGTGTATGCATTTGGAATGCAGTGGAAGTGGTTAACAAGTTTGTGTAGATGACAATAAACTTTTGTGTATCTATTAATATATATATATATATATATATATATATATATATATATATATATATATATATATATATATAAACTGTATCTGGAGCGTGTAACAAAAGTAATTTCCCTCTGGGATTAATAAAGTATTTCTGATTCTGAAAACATGAGTTTGTATTTCTGGTGGAGGGAAAGAAACAGGTGCACAAAATGAAGCTAGTGTCTCGCTTAATGCAGCATTTATCAATGGAGCAACAGCTGAGGCAGTGGAAACATCTGCTGAACCGCTCATGTAGAGAATTTCCTCATCTTTCTCCATTTGAATTTGGCTCGTTTTTTAATGACAGTTGTAATTGTTCAGCCCAGTTTCCTGTTTGGGTGCAGACGGAATTAAACATTACACCAAAACAAAGGATAAATCCTTGATTTTCTCTAAGGATAAACACGATTTTAGGATTTTTTTGAGGTACTGAGCAACTTCAGGGACGACTCGTCGTACAATAATTTTAAATTCATAAATGGGAACAGATTTAGGATAAACAAACACTGCTGGAGTTGTAGCCTAAAGCAAAGCAGCTGACCCAGCTCCAGAAACTTGTTTCCTCCTTGCATTCCTTACAACAAATCCCCCCTATAATATATATATATATATATATATATAAATCTATGAAACTAGATGGTCAGAAAGTAGGAGAAACTTTGTGAATATTGGGTAAGGAGAGGGGAGTGTTGGTCTGTGCATGAGTGGTCAAGGTACTGTGGGAACTGGAGGAGAGTTAATGTGTAGGTAAGGAGGGAGGGGGTCTTTGATGACACTTTAAAATGGCCTCTGACCCCTTCAAAAGGTTAAGAGGTAGATTAGAGGGGAATGCTGGGGGTTACAAATAGGCTGAGCATAAATGAAACACAAATTATAGGAATTTGGGTCTGAGTGTCTTATGAACTCTAAAATGCACCAGTTAGGATCAGAGGTTTGCGATTGCCAGCACCATTTCCGGCTTACCTTGTTCGAAGGACCAGCGGCTCGAGCTTGGTCTTCATACGCCGCCACGTTTTCCCATGTTGCCACCACAGCCTGTGTGGGAGTGAATTTTGCGTCTGGGAAGCCACGGTTCACCTCCTGGGGGGGGAGATGAATGAGCGAACGGATGGAGAGAAATGAGGGAGGAACAATGGAATGCACTAATGGAGGATGAACCAAACAGAAGAAAACAAATCTATAGGACTTTAGTTTTTCTTCCGAGAGATTTTGTTTAAAGTTGTTTTAAATCAGAAATTTTAATTGGACAAACCTGGGTGACTCTATTCAGGATGCCAGGGGTCCCAGTAACCCGGTAATAAATGTGTCCTCGTCCTCCACTGGTATCAATGTCAGCCAGGAAAGGTGCCACCACGGGGAAGTCTGTAGGGAGGCCGTCGTCAACATACTGCTGTTCCATCGGCAGGTCCTGGGCCGAGATGATCCCATTGGTGGCCACCTACGCCGGGAAAAAACAGAGCGAAGGTTGGTGTTTGAAAAAAGGAGGCATCTCCGAATGAGTCCACATCCCCTATGAACCACTAGAGCTCCATGATGGACCCAGGGAACCACATAATGAACCTCTTCATTACTTCCAGAAACCACCGGGGACAGCCTCGAGGATTCCCTGCCTGGACCTGATTACGTTTAGGAAACCAGCAAACCACAGTGAAACGACTTTCAATATTAGCTGGATAACAGAGCATGACCCACTAGTGTTATAGAAAGATGCACATCTGAAATTCACCTATATAAAACCAGGATAATATAGGATGAACATTTCAGATTCCTTACACTGAGCAACCACTGGAGATTATTTACTAATCATGCACGACTAATGATAAACAGGTAATTATCTGTTAATAGTTAATCTGCTATTCAAATAGAAACTATAAGAATGGGAAAGAAAGGAGGTTTGAGTGACACTGGAGGTTGCATGGCTGTAGTTGACATATTGGCTGGTCTGAGTGTTTCAAAAACTGTGGATCTGCTTGTATTTTGCAGGAAATCATCCCATAATAAGAAACTATCAGCTGGGTTTACAAAAAAAAATGCCTAATTGACACCAGTGGATAATCTGCACACAAGATGAACTAGAAATGAAAGACAAACATCATCCCTGGCCTCTGATGTACCCTTGCCCTTCCTTCTGCTGTTTATTCTCTCAGATTTTCTAACAAACCACTTGCACAACATCTACATGCCCAACTTTAACGACTGAATATGTGACTTCTAAACAAACTATTTTTTCAGGTATCTATTTGCAGAAAGTTCTGAGAACCATGTTTCAGGTTATGTTCCGTTCTTTAGATGGGTCTTGTATTAGATAGTGGTGCCAGCATCAGGCAATGGGAATGTTGCAGAGATTTCTGGTGCTGATTTAGACATACCGCTTTAAAAAAAAAGGATGAATTCTTTAAAGCATTGACTCAAATTGGTGTTTAAACACAAACCTGACTTTTCAAATTTTAATTTGCATATTAAAAAAAAAAAAGACGATGGTGCGATTGCTATGTTTTAACGTTGGATTTTTGTCTTCTGGTTTCTGTGACAAAAATCACTGCCTCCTTTGTGTTGAAAGATTATGTTTTTTGATTTAGCAGATGGCCGCTTACACCGAGTCTGGTTCTGCTGGAGGTTTCTTCCTGTTTAAAGGGAGTTTTTCCTCTCCACTTTCGCTACAAGCATGCTTAGTGTAAGAGCTTGCATTCAAGTCGAAGCAATCAACTGGTTTTCCTTAGATAGAAAACTTTGAATCCATTTAACTGTATGATCTGGTGAACTGTAAAGTGCCTAAAGAGGACATGTGTTGTAAATTGGCGCTATAGAAATAAACTGAATTGAATTCAATTATTTGGCGCTTGGTAGTTTAGTTGGCAAAAGATAAAATCTTGGATTTGGAGTAACCAGAATTTTCACACTCCAAAAAAAATTTAAATCTAATTAAGTCACTTTTTCTTGCAATAAGTAGATTTTTCTTGAATTGAGGAGGTAAGTGAGACACTTTGCAAATGGAACAAGACAATTTAAATTTAAACTAAGTAAAAAACAATCGCATGGTCTTATTTCAAGTGCATATTATCTAATTATCTTATTCCATTGGCAAATTATCTTATTTACCTACTCAAATTAATGGTAAATACACTTAATTTAAGACATTTTTGCTAATCTTTAGAGTTTTTTTGCAGTGCACACTGATGTGTAATTTTATCCAAGTAGCAAATAGTTAATATAAAATGTGTTTCTATGGCGATAGAACTGACAGACTGAATGAAATGTGCAAATACTCTAAATAAACTTATTTATTAAGTGATTAGTTTTCTACTTACGTAGAGCTGGGAGAAAGAGGAGTCAAAAAAGTAAAGGGGTCTAGGAAGGGTCAGCGCTCTGGAAGTCTCATCGTCGCCCTCTGGTAGAATTGCATCTCCATGCAAAGTCCCATAAGGAAACAGATCTGTCCTCCGGATGGCTGTGACCAAATACACAGAGCAGCTCCAGCAGCACAGCAGAGCCGCGGTCAGCATCGCTCCTCTGTCCATGGGCAGAAAGCAGAAAACAGCGGCGGATAGAGAGCGGAGCTGCAGAAAAGGAGGAGAACCCCTCAGAGACCCCGCCGCTGCTGCGGGGGCGGGGCCAAGAGCTGGGCCTGCTCTGATTGGTCAAAGCCGGACTGCTGCTGGAGGTAACATCTGGCTCTGATTAGAGCTAAACAGTAATGGAGTATTTTAATCCGGATGTAACAGTATCTGTTTCTCAACACTCATGAAGACATATGGTTCTGCAACTTTTCTTTTTTTTTACTCCCTTTTTAAGACACACTTAAGCAGTCCCCTCCTCACGTTCAAATAAAATTACAATTAATTATGTTAAAATTATCTGTTATAAATACGAGGAAACAAAATAGTAATAAATCTGAGAAAATAACTTTTTTTTACTCATATCTGTTTATTCGGTTAATTTCGATACATTTGTGCCTCATTTGTGCCACCTAGCGTCCATAACCACGCACTACACTCTATAGGATGTACTTTGCTCTCTTGCTTTCAGTATTTTATTACATTACAATAAGCTTTTACAGAACTATTGTTTTTTTTTTTGTTTTTTTTTTTTTTTTTTTTTGGATGACTACGGAAGAGGATTAGGGCCACTGAAAAAATAAATTAAGTTAACTGATTTTAAATATTTCAGTTTAATATGGGGGAAAAAGTCAGAATTCTGACTTTATTCTAAGGATTCTGATATTTTTCCCAGAATTCTGGCTTTACTCTCAGAATTCAGATTTTTTTTTCTCTGAATTCTGACTTTTTTCTCAGAATTCTGACTTTTTTAATCAGAATTCTAACTTAAATCTCAGAACTCTAACTTAATCTCGGAATTTTGGAACCTAATCTTAAAGGGCACCCCGAAGGAAGAGATGTGGGAGAACTCAGCTTCACTGACAAAGATGTGAGTTGTTTGGGAGGACCAGTGACACATTGGTGGAAAATGATGGAATTAAGCGACTTTTTACGTGCCCAAGGGGTCCCTGGTGAAGCTATTTCAATAATGGAAGAGCGGAAGGTGATTAAAACAAAATAGATAGTTTAGTCTCTAGACATGGCTATGGCTTGATGTGTGTTAGCTTTAAGAATTCGGTCAGAATTCTGAGTTTAAAATCAGAATTTTGAGAAAAAAGTCAGAACTCTGAGATTAAAGTCATAATTCTGGGATTAAAGGCAAAATTCTGAGGAAAAATCAGAAGTCTGAGATTAAAGTCAGAATTCTGTGTTCTTTCCCATATTAAACTGAAAGTAGATTTTAAAAACTGGTAAACTTTTTCTTTTTTTCAGTGGCCCTAATCCTCTTCCGTAGATGACAGACCAACACAAGCCTTTTGATGATTTTTTTTTTTTCTAATTGATGCAAAAAAGAGAAATTGCTGGAATGAAACCTGCTTCAGAGAATTCCCCTTATTAGGTTTATCTTATAATATCCTGATGAATATGATAAATAGGTGGACATAAAATTATTCAATCACACGTTTCAATTTACTAGCATACTTTTTAATATATAGTTCTAAATCAGCTCGTCACAAATATCAAACCCCCACATGTTTACAATAACGCAGTTGTGAAAGCCCAGGACAATACATAGAAAAGTTGCTAAAACAGTAAAGAAACTTTGGTGTAATGTATCTTAACACAGGAAAATGTAAAGTTGCAGATCTGCCAAAGTCCAACTGTTTAAGGAATTAGTCACTGCTTAAAGGAGACAAGCAAAATTCTTTGCTTCTCAGATTAAATCATATTGTAATTCGATGGCTGTCAAGGCTATATCATATGTGGTGCCATCTCGAGAAACTCCAGATTAGTCCAGCATGGTGGTGGCATAATCATACTGAGGGGTTTTAATGACCCTTTTCAAATGGAGTGTAGGCAAACTCATGTCACATGCATAGACTAGGGGTGTAAATAATAATCGTCAGGATTCAAAGCCCAATGCCCTAACCACTAGGCCGCCACTCCCCATTAACTAGTCAGACTTTTAAATTTTCTATTTTTTCTATGCTATGGTACAAGAGGTGTAAATCACGCCCATCATGGCGATTCGATTCAGTATCAATTTCCTGACCCAAGGATTAGATTATTTGCGATACTCAAGAATACACCACGATACGGTTCGATTCCATTGTTGGTAAAAATTTGACTTAAACTTGCCTCATTGCTAAAAGACTGTTTATAATGTTGGCTGTAAATAGCTGATATTATGGCAACAGTGTGAGAAACACCAAAGAAAACCGTCTAGACAAATATTTGGCTGATTGTTGCTATAGACAGGGAATTAAAACAATAATATAAAAACAACACACATCTTTATTCCTTAGTTTGGAATCTGTACATATTTAAATTCCTGTAGCAGCTTGCTGGGTTGCAGTGCAAATGCCATTTTGTACAAAAATAAGGGGAAATGTGTTATATATTGTTTTCATTAATAAGCTTAAGTTCATTTTTATTTATAGAGAAGGCAGAAAGCCTCAGAGTGAGTGAAAGAAAGGAAAGATGTGGACAAAAGAAAACACAGAGGGGCACAAAGTGTTAGGTTTCTGTTTCTGTTATGTTTTTCTTTTGCTTCTTGATTTCTAGTGTTTAGTTTTCTTTTCACCATGTTTTTTTATTCTAGTTATTTGATTATTATTTTGTTGATGTTTTCTTATTAGTTCCTGTCTTCCAGCTTTTCATGTGTTATCCTCTGCTGCCCTCTTGTGTCCTCTTTCTCTTGCTCTGTTTTCTGTTCTGCGCTCACCTGTGTTCAATTCCCTCATCAGCCCTCTTCCTGTCTCTGTCCCCTTTAAAAGCCCTTCCTCTTCAGTTCCTGTTTGCTGGATCCTCGTCAAACGTCTTACATCTCATCAAACCTCTGGTCAGTTCTCTGTCGTCCTTCCTTGTCTCTTCCTGGTTCTTAGTTTTTTGGTTTTTTCCCTGACGTCTCCTAGATTCTGGTTCATGATATATTTTTGTTGGATTTTTGACTCCTGCCTCTGCGCCTGTAAACCTCCAGCCTATGAGCATGTGAACCTTGATTAAAATACTTAAATTCATCTCAGCCACCCGTCTCTGCATTTGGGTCCTCAAACCAACACCACCAAATCCTGACACAAAGAAAGAAATGTAATTGAGAAAGTAAGGAAGAGGCCAACAAGCTGTAAGAGCATAGATAATGGATTTTAAAAATTAAAATGAACATAAAAATTAGGGATAAATTGAAAATAAAGGCACCACAGGAGGAGAATATCCTCTGAAAACCTGAGGAACCAAAAATGTCCTCTTCAGCGAATCTAGTAGTCAGAAGTTCAATAAACTCAAATGATTTTGAAGTTTGAAAGCTGTAACTATGAACCACTTATTAGCTATATTTAAATATATTTTCAGAAACAAAAAGAGGGAAAATAATGTTTTTTAAGTCAGATTTGAATGAGTAGGCTAATAGAATATTAATAACCACAAATATTCCCAACAAACAAGATTAAAAAAAAAATCACAAGCTGCTTTGCAGATGTTTCCCTTTAAGGGGAGATTTTTTTTAGTTTGATATTTTAGAAAACATTCAATACCATTTCTCCAGTTCCTGCCAATGTCCAGAAATTTTGCGCGTGCAATTAAGGATGACTCTTTAGGAAGAAGAAGAGTTGCACTCAGAGTGAATGGTGGTCGCAACAAACACTGACTGGTTTCTGCAGAATTGGTAGAGACTGAAGGACTTTAGGCTGTAATTGTATTGGTTCTAAAAAGTGGTGATTCAGGTAGACTGAGCCCAAATGTAGGGCCACACTTTTCACATTTTTAAACATAACAAATTGTGCTAAAATGTTGAATTTCCTAAGAAACAGTCAGTTCGTGGTGTAATTACTCAAACTTACCTCCAGGTGGAGCCAAAGGCAAGTTTTCAGACAAACTGTTTTTTCTTTATATTGTGTATTTGGCTAAGGAGATTCATACTGTATTTCTACCTCAAAACATGTGGATGACCATGTTTACTTAAACATTTTAATGACTTTTCATTAACTGACACATTAAATTAATCCAAATATTAAGTCTGAGTGTTTTTAAATCATCGTTGTAGAAACACTCTGTGAGAAAGGATGCTGGCTGCACTGGTCTTAACAGAGACACCTGATATTTAATAAAAACAAATGAACCTATAAATAATTCAGACTCAGCAGGGGCTCCACTGTTTACTGTAACAGAGGGCAGGAGAATGAACGGCACAAACTGAACACCAACAGCACCTAGGAGAGCCGGGAAAAAAATAATAAGGCAGGAAAAAGGAAAAACTGCAGGGAAAGTAAAGGTAGAGGAAGGGAGATTTGGTTTAATGTCATTAGGGCAGAGGACGAGGTGAAAGGGGTTCTGATGTAAAAGGAAGTATATATGGAGCAAAGGAAGAAGGAAACAGCAGAACGGATAAACAAGGATTTCGATTTTTTTATGGTAAAATACGAACCTGTACAATTAAAAGAATCAGGCCATGTAATCATTCAATCAATTATATTTTTACATATTTTCATAAAGAGGAAATCAGAAAAGTGTGTCATACATTTGGACTACTTTACAGAACCACCTGTTGGTGAAGAAAAACTCCTCCCCTCAGCATGATGTTGATACCATAAAGCTTTTCTGATCATTTAAATGGTCCACTTAGGTTCACCAGGCAGGCTAAACACATCACATTTTAAGATTTTTATTCAAGACAAACTTCAAATAACAATTGATACTTAATCTGTAACTTTGTCTCCTTAATGTATTTTTGTGTTTGATCTTTTATAGAAAGTCTATCACAATATATATATAGAAAATGTGAACCTATTGAACCTAAAAGAGAACAAAAGGAGACAAAAGCAGCATAAAGAGGAGAGACGAGGGAAAAAGAGACAAAATGACAGCAGAACCATTGGGGATTCATTAATGGGCCGGAATGAAAGCACTTCTGCCATTTAAAGGCTTTCAGCGTGCATCACATCCCATTTCAAGAGCCGGACTGGCATTTATTCTGCTCTTCATAATAGGTAAAATGATGCGACAGTAGCATTTCAATGCATTACGGAGCACTTAACGTTTCCTCTGACAATAAACATGTTCTGTGTCTTCATAGTGGACATCATGATCTAGCAGATTATCTGTCGCCATGAAGAAACCTAGACCCTGAAAAGCAAAAACAAATATTTCCAAAAATTCCCATCTTCAGACAATCATTGATTAGTTCTTCACTTTGTTGTGGCAGCAGGGGGGTTGGGGCCAGGCCGCTGATTATATCTTCTATTCACAAGGGACAAATGATTAAGAAGAGAAAGTTATATTATTCCAGATGGGAAATGAGAGCCTTAGATCTAAAATGTTGCAGGAGGAAACCCATGGGACACATCTAGGAAGGACACACAGATCTTTGACGCTCCAGTGGAAACACACTATGACCCGGGAGGGTAAGCGCATGCACACATGCACATACTGGATGTTGCATATACTCAAAATATCTCACTGCAAAGAGGAAGCAGTTTCTGCAGAAGCTTACTGAAGATATGAAATGTTTGCACTGTGGTATGTTTATTTAAAGAGTTGTATCGGTACCTTAAATGAGCTACAGCCTGCATTAAGTACACAGAGATGACCATGTTTGTTTTAAAAATACCTACAGGATACATCAGAAACCAACAAAAACTCTGCAGAAATTTAGAACTAGTTAAACTGATCATGCAGCTTCATCACAGCAGACTTTATTATAACACCAAACCAAAGCAGCACTGCGTCCTCTTAGTGACCTTATCCGCATTAATTATCAATAAATCTTTTGTAGGAGGTTTTGTAGACTTTTGCTCATGCATGATCTTTCTCTCCACCCACAGGATTAGTCAGGTGGGGTCTAGAATCAAACATGGCTGTTGCAACATCTTTATTCTGTTCTGTTATGATGGTGTATCATAGTAAACGAGGCAAAAAAAAAGTGCATGTTGGTTTCATACTTTAAACTCACAAAAATAAGAAAACATTATGCTTATAATGCAATACAAAGGGGAAAACTCGGTTAACGGCATCTCTGCAAGATCCTCATTGATATAGCCCTCATCATCTCTGCTCTATTTGCACTACCTTGTACATTTTACTTTTTATATTATCCATATTTTTATCTTAAGTGTATATATTAGTATATTTTTTGCATGCCTTATACCCCAGTGTTTTTAGAGATTTTTATAATTTTATTTACTATTTCATATATGTTTCATGTTTGCACGACTGTACCACAAAAAATTCCTAGTTGTGAACTTCTTCACTAACAATGGCAATAAACCCGATTCTGATCTAGATAGATAAAACTCTTTGATCCCCCAGCCAGGAGGTGAAGTGTTAAAGGAATAGTACACCTAAAACATGATTAGCCTTCATTTTCTACTCACCCCCATGCTGAACAACACTCTGGAGTACTTTTTTGATATCTCAAATGCATCTGGAGATCTGGGAGGCTTCTTGCTGTCTGCTGACATTCAAATAATGGAGGTCCATGGCGCCCGAGACAGAAAGGTCCATAAAAGTCCACAAAAAACGTGTCAATATTCCTCCATACTGCTCGTCCAATGTAATCCAAGTGTCCTGAGTGGGTAGCATCCAGAATTTACTCGAAACAAAGTCATTTAGAACGTTTTAGAGCCTAAACAGTAGTGTATAGGATTTCCTAATAGCGCCCCCATGCGCGCTCACGATTCTACGGAAGCCGGCAGACCAAACCAGCGCATTCAGCTCGGCAAAGAACTCATGCTCTTCCTCAACACTGAAGTCCTCAGACATTTTTCTTTCGTTGTTTCTTTCTTTGCACAGGTAAACAGCACATTTCTTCTTCTACGCTTGCATTATCGGCAGACCAGACGCTGAATGCGCACTTTCATCTGGTTTGGTCTGCCGGCTTCCGTAGAATCGTGAGCGCGCATGGGGGCGCTATTAGGAAATCCTATACACTACTGTTTAGGCTCTAAAAACATTCTAAATGACTTTGTTTCGAGTAAATTCTGGATGCTACCCACTCAGGACACTTGGAATACATTGGACGAGCAGTATGGAGGAATATTGACACGTTTTTGTGGACTTTTATGGACCTTTCTGTCTCGGGCGCCATGGACCTCCATTATTTGAATGTCAGCAGACAGCAAGAAGCCTCCCAGATCTCCAGATGCATTTGAGATATCAAAAAAGTACTCCAGAGTGTTGTTCAGCATGGAGGTGAGTAGAAAATGAAGGCTAATCATGTTTTGGGTGTACTATTCCTTTAAAACTTGGTATTTTATTTCTATACTGATCCAGACTCCCCTCTGAATGCTCTGGTTTTCTCTTAAACCCAACAGTCAGATCTCTGTGGTACGGAAGAGGATTAGGGCCACTGGAAAAAAACAAAAAAACAAAAAGTGACTGATTTTTTCATTTAATTTCAGTTTAATATGGGAAAAAAGAGAGTCAGAATTCTGACTTTAATCTCATAATTTAGACTTCTTTTCTCACAATTCTGACTTTAATTTCAGAATTCTGATTTTAATCTCAAAACTCAGACTTTTCTCAGAATTCTGACTTTAATCTCAGAATTCTCAGTTTAATCTCAGAATTCTAACTTTAATCTTAAAACTCAGACTTTTTTTCAGAATTCTCAGTTTAATCTCAGAATTCTGACTTTAATCTCAGAATTCTGACTTTAATCTCATTATTCTGACTTTTTTTCTCACAATTCTGACTTTAATCTAAGAATTCTGACTTTAATCTCAAAACTCAGACTTGTTTTTCTCAGAATTTAGACTTTAATCTTAGAATTCTCATTTTAATCTCGGAATTCTAATTTTAATCTCAAAACTCAGACTTTCTTTCTCAGAATTCTCAGTTTAATCTCAGAATGTCAGAACTATGACAAAAAAAAGCCAGAATTGTGAGATTAAAGTCAGAGTTCTGAGATTAAAGTCTGAATTCTGAGATTAAAGTCAGAATTGTGAGGTAAAAAAAGTCAGAGTTCTGAGATTAAAGTCTGAATTCTCAGTTTAATCTCAGAATTCTCAGTTTAATCTCAGAATTCTGACTTTTTTATCATATTATACTGAAATAAAATGTAAAAATCAGTTAACTTATTTTTTCAGTGGCCCTAATCCTCTTCCGTGGAGGCTGTAGATTGCAGAATGTGAAGGTGTGGCGGAGAGCTAACCAGCTCCGACTTGCACAGCTCTGTGGGCGTGGCTAATTGCGTCACCGCCTCGCTCCCTGAGCTGGGGACAAATTCATGCCCGCCTCATCACATCTCCTCTCCTCGCGCCTCACTCCTATCACGAGCCAGCATTTCTTTACACCAGAGCGGCTCCGGATCAAACTAAGTTGGATATTTAGGAGCAGCTTCTATTTTCTACCTGTTGAGGAGAACCGCACCGGGAGCCCCTTCTAAAGCAGGTGAGAACTGGAGCCTGATTACTGGATGCTTCTGAAGGAGGTCCACGCGCTGTTTGTTTACTCCATATAAATATTTACTGATGTAAACATGTCCGGTTTTATTTTCTTTAAAGATAGCGCGCATTTACAACCAAACATACGTTTGTTTTTTCTCGCTCTTTGCTTCACTTTCCACTTAAAAAGACAAATGTTGATGTTGCCGCACCCGAACGCGCGCTCCAAACAAAACTCCTAATAAACAGTCCTGAAAACTTTTCATCTATTCGGTTTTCTGTAAAGAAATGACTCATCTTCCTCTATAGAAATAGAAGTTTGTGTTTTTGTTTTTTTTTTTTGTCAGAGCATGCTCACATTCCACTGTCACTAGGTATTACACACCCAACAGCTGGACACATCTGTCAGAGATGCGGTCTCTGCGGCTGGAACTTCCAGCGGTTCCGCTGGGCAGAAAGTGAGTCAGGTGTGTGGGTGCAGACCCACGTGCTGTTCTAGTCAGGGGCCAGTGGGACAGCTACTGGCCCCTGCTGTGGCTCCTATAAGATCTAACACTGAAAGGAATTCTGATTAAGATTTTCCCTGGTACAGAACAGTGACTGACAATCAGTCTGAATGCACCTTTCACTTTTCATTTTCATATATAACACTTGTTATATATAACAAGTTATATATTATACAATAATTATTTCAAATAAGTAAAACAACAGGCAATATGTCTTAATTACAAATGCACTTTGACATTTTTAAATGATTTTGTAGATAATAATTTAGCGACTAACTATTTCAGTTGGTTTTTCTTTTCATGGTAAGGGATTTTTTAAATTTTAGGTATATAAAACTAATATTTTTCAAACCAAAAAAGAAGAAAAATCGATTGGAAAAACTTCAAATGTTAATAAAACTCAATAATTTCACTGTATTCAGTGCTGAACCACACTTAACTCTTTGGTTCTGCAGCTTTCTTAATATATTTAAAATGAGAAACTATTGTTTAACCCTTTTTTTTTTTTTATTACTTTCTGTGCCCTTTTGAAAACATGCTGCACCTCCCAGTAACGATGTGTAATGTTATATATTTAATATACTGCAGCTAAGACACAGAAGAGGATAGATCAACGCAGCTGGTTACACAGGATTTTATTTAACTGGATCAAAGCAGAGTCGGTTCTAGGTTAAATTTAACGCAGGAAAAAATAAAAAGAGCACATCAATTACTATATAAAATGAGCCACACAGCCAAAGTTGTAGAGTCCTCATCTAACAGAAGTTCTGATCCCACCGTAGTTCAACAAAGCTGACTGCAATTTTGAAATAATTGTTGAGTTAAAGTCTAAAAGCAATATATTAAGAATAATCCAAAGGACAAACCAGGTCTCTTATGTCAGCACTTATAGTAACTGATTTATTTATTATGACAGCACAAAAACTGACATAAAAAAATAAAAAATTCTTAACTGTATTTGGCCTTAATTTGAACATGTTTTAAGATTATCTGGCGAAGGAATTGATATTTTCACTCTAAAAGATAAGATATGCACTTGAAAAAAAAGTTATTTTGTTTTAAAGTTTTTTTTCCTTCAAATTTTAACCCTTTAAAGCCCGATCCAAGAATAAAACAAAACAGAAAATTACTTTTTTTTTTTTGCTTTGAATTCCTTATTTGGCCTTTTAACAAAATATGTAAAAAGAAAAAACAAAAATAAATTTTTGATATTAATAATTTATTACTATGCGATTAATCAAGATTTTTTTTGTGTAGTCTTCTGCCCTCTGTTATCAGGTATATCTGATTGTGCACAATAGGATTTTGAGCAAAGTTTTTACCATTAAATTATGCAAAAGGTGTCAGACGCAAAACATTTCAGAAACTGTATGTATCAAATATGATACATTTGGCATTACAGGGTTAAACATTAATCATCTTACTCAATTGGTAAATTATCCAACTTACCTGCTCAAATCTATGGACATAAAATTATTTTGAGACAAAAAAAAGTATTTTTAATTAAAATTTTTGTAGACTGTGTTTTCAGTAATGGGGCCAGGACCAGTTCTATAGGGACACTGGCCCCAGGTGGCCCCTGTTTAGAACCGCCCATGGATCAGAGTAAAGGAGACTGTTAGCAAATTAATACCATGTTTGTTTTTAATCTAAAAGGATAGAATAATAATAATTGTATTTCCTTTTTGGGGAATAACTACTTTAACTTAAGCCACAGCAGCAGGTTCTAGCAACAACTGCTTTAGAAACTGCATTCCTGCTAGAAGCTGCCCGAGTACGTGCTGTTATCCATTTCTTGGGAAGAAGTTACAGTTTGACTAGTCAGCTGATGTCTGAGAATTCATAAGAAAGAAGGGGAAGAACAATGAGTTTCACAACTCTAAAACTGGAGCAGCACTTGTGGAACGTGCTGTTTCAGGGTATGCAAAGCACGTCTCCGTCAATAACAGGTACTACTCACTTCGTGTGCACCAGTAAATCCCACACAGTTTTTCAAGCATCAAATTAGAGCGACGCTGCAAGTCACAGCTGTTGATATTGCGGCCAAACAGTTTAGAAACCATCGGAGAGAAGTAAACCCTTTTTACAGGAGGAGACTCTCTGGTCTTTTGTTCTGTGGTTTAAAGGGAAGCATATAAAATTTTTAAGAGCTGAAAAAAAAGAGGAATCTTTCTTGATGTTTAAGCAGATGATCAGAGCTGTTTCTGATGGTCCGACAGGCTGTAATCCAAAGAATGGGTCTACAAGCTGCAGGATAAGGCCTTTTATGGCTTATGAATGCAACAACTGAAAATAAATGGTTGAATTATTTTGATTTTATGACTATTTTCATAATTTACGGACATATTAAGCTACAAAGAAACAAATTATGCAAAAATGAGATTATTACAAGATCAACAGGTACGACATAAAAACATGAGGAACAAAAGATGAATTATTTGCTGATTAACTGATGAGTTATTAGTTTAATTGTTGCCGTTTTTTTTTTTTTATAGAATTACTCCTGAAAACGTCTTTGAACACCGATTATCAAGCTTCTGCAGGAATTGGAAACAGTTTCTCGTTAAAGGAAAGAAGAAAAACTCCTGCCATGACCATTAATTATACCGAATGCCACTCTAGGAAATTCATAAAGGGGGATACAAGCCCGTTAATTAGTGCCATCATGTTTGGCTTAGGAATCTTTGGAAACGTGGCTGCCTTGGTAATCCTGGAAATCCGACGGCGCAGGAACAAGAGGGCCGACGACAGGAGATACAAGGGCTTGTTCCACATCCTCGTCAGCTCGCTGGTGTTCACGGACCTGGCCGGGACTTGCCTGATCAGCCCCGTTGTGCAGCTTGCATATGCGTGGAACATGACTTTGGTTGAAATGACTTCTGGAATTAATTCTAACGACACCCTTGGCAGAACTAGCAGTAGCGTGTGCAATTACTTTGGTGTTAGCATGACCTTCTTTAGCCTGGCCACCATGTCCCTCCTTTTCATTACAGCTATGGACAGATGCTTTGCAATAGGCCACCCCTACCTGTACAGCCGACTTGTCACTAAGAAATGGGCTTATATTACAATCCCTGTTATGTTTCTGACATGCATCTTATTTTGTATGCTTCCTTTTGTGGAATTCGGTAATTATGTACAATACTGCCCCGGGACATGGTGCTTCATTGACATGAATCCCACAGAACCCAAGGAACAGGTTTATGCTAAGCTATATGCCACAATTATGCTGGTGTTGGTGCTGTCCATTGTAGCCTGCAACGTCTTTGTGATGTACCAGCTCTTCCGGATGTACCGGCGGCGAAACAGACAAGGCTCAGTGATGAAGAGCATGAGATCCAGCAACGAGCACAGAAGATTTGTGGCTCACGAGGTGGAGCACCTCATCCCCCTGGTCTTCATGACGATCATCTTCATCGTCTGCACAATTCCCCTGGTGGTAAGATGGCAGCAGATCACACACACACACGATAAATATCAACTTTAAAATGAGGCTATGTTAACCGAAAAAGTCTGTCCCAGCAGCAAACGTGTACATTTCTAAAGGCAGTAAGGAGAAAATGCTTATTTTTTTTGCTCATTAGATGGTTGTGGGGCCGTTACATTTGTGTCATTCACTCAATTCAATCAGGATCGCTAAGCTAGATGATATTTTAGATGTGTAACTGCTTCAACACCTGGTTGAAATCACTGAATTATCTCCTTAGCCTCACACCAAATCCTGCCAAGGCCTTCCAGCAATGCAGTTAGGGCGAATGTTGGCCTAGAGGTTAAAGCAGTGGGCATGGGGTCTGAGAAGGTTGCAAATACTCGGTTTGATCCCCACAGCTTGCACTTAGGGTCCCTGAGCAAGACCCTTAACCCCTGATTGCTCCCCAGGCGCCGCACAGTGGCAGCCCACTGCTCACCAAGGGGAAGGGTTAAATGCAGAGAGTAAATATCTCCATTGTGAGATCAATAAAGTTCAGTTATTATTATTATTAGTTATTTAATCCAGCTGTGATCAAGCTAATTCAAATAGCTAAAACTAAAGCAGGGCCTTCGAGGACCAGAGCCCCAAATGTAGAACAAGTTTATAGGTTTAGTTTTTTTCATTCTTGTTTAGTTTTATTAAGTTGTATCTATTATTTTTTTTATCGAATTCAATTTTAACTAATTTTTAAAACTGGTGTGATCATTTTTATTGGTTTCTATTATTTTAAAAATGCCTAGTTTTAATTTAATTTGCACTGTTCAGTTTTTCATTTGGTTAATTTAAGGATAGAAAAAGGTCAAAGTAATGTATTTAACTGCCTATATAGGGAACTATAGCTAGATATAAATAAATATAGGGAACAAGATACCATTTTTTTAAACTGGTTCGGTTGCAACAGACTATCGGAACGCTGTAGGAAAAAAAACAGTTTGCAAGGCCTTTAAAAATGATAAAAATGTTAATGAATGATATAGATCTATTATTTTAGTATGTTTTAGTACAGTTTCAGTTAGTTAAAAGTTTCTCCTTTTTAATTATTTTTATTTATATGAGTCGATATAAATGTTTATAATCTATAATCACTGATTTAGGTCTGAAATCTTCAAAAGGCTGCCCAGATCAAGTTAGACATGAGATTTTTATTAAACAGAACAACTATTTTTGAAGATATGCTCTGACAGAAGAGACTATAACTGTTTAGACTAATTTAATAGTTTACTTTTACAGTTTAATAATTATTTAGAAATTTAAGCCAGCATTAAGTAACATTTTTAACCCAAAAATATCCTCTTCCAAGTTCCTGACTGTGATGGTAATCGAAAAGTTTGATATGAGATCATTTTGAGATCATTTTCTCCACCGGTTCTGGTTGGAAAACCACACCTGCAACTTTCTGTGACACCAACCTGGTGACTGTTCTTATTCGCACTGTGAGACAAAACCATCGGTATCAGTAACCACAAGCACCGCACTGCACTAGCATCAGCTGGTTATAGAACAGCTTCTCATTTTGGTGGTTTATGACATGGTGGATCCAGCAAAAAAGGTAATGAAAGCCAGAGGAAGAAGTAGGAAAACGTGTATCTGATTGCGACAGGGCTTACTCCGTGGCAAGACCGCAAACTAAAACAAAGAAGTAAAACTGATGCATACGTGGCAAGGTTTTTATTGAACTTTTAGGAACCATGTGCTAACCTTTGGTAGTGTTACTTTTTTGACAGAGTAATCAATTTTAGCATGCTACTATTAAAAAGGAGAAACCGAATTTCACTGCGAGAGCAAATAGACAACGGTTTACCTGAGAGGCTGAGTTTAGGTACATTCAGACCTAGAGCGCAGTGTCCGCAGTGATTCCTGCCAGCACCACAGAGAGTTCACCACTCTACATTTTAGATGCACAGCGAACCGCATCATAAAATTGGAGGAGCTTCAACTGCGTGAAGCTGAAACCCCACCCATGTGAAAAGACTCAGCAAATAGACTGAATGGTTAGTGATTCATTAGTGCAGGTTTGGGTAGTTAAAATGCTCATTTGTAGGAATGAAAAAAAAAAAAAAAGATCATGTGTGCTACTTTTGTTTTAGATATATTAAAGATTATTGTTAAAGGTCATCCAGAGGTCATCTATTAAGCTAAGATGGAATAAAAAAAAATATATTCTTCAGTGTTACTTGATTTGTTGTCTGCTGATTTGGTTTTTGAGATGGAATCATTCTTAATTTCGGCCAATGATGTTGCATTTAATATAACAGTGTTTAATTTGTTTAGTGGTTTGGAATGATTGTTTCATAGTGTTTAGTATTTTATCAACCTCCCTGCCGTTATTCCTGGCAACCCCGTAGCATTTCCTGTCAAGGTCAAAAGGTCATTATGACTAGGGCACAAATTTTGTCATCCTGCAAGGACTGCAGAAATATCCCTTTAAAAAAACCACATGAATTTACACTGTAAATTCAGGGAAAAAAAACAAAACAAAAAAACAAACTTACAGGTTACTGGTATTATTAGGTTCTTTAGAATGAAGCAGTTTAGAGAAAATAACAGAAAAGGTCATGGATAGGACTTTTTTTTTCTTTTTTACGGCAGGTATGGCGACTTTGACAGTCTGTCTTCCCCTTTGGTTTATTTGATTTGATGATTATCAGCAAAAAGTGAAAGAACAAAAATAGCATGGTCTGGGGTTTGATGCCTTCACCATGATGCTCTCAACAGAAGTGAAACAGTCAAAACAGATGCGGTTTGTCATCTTCCGTCTAAAACAGCGCTTATCTTTGTAACCGTTTCTGCAATCTAATGCAGGCCGGAGAGGCTGGCAGTGTGATGGTGCTGATGGCTGAATTTCAAAATGCTAGATCGATTAATGTAGATTTGACTTGAGACAAGCACAAATGGGAGGAAACAAGAAACACAAAGCAAACCTAAAGGAGATTTTTTTCCTACTAGCCGGCTGCAGATGCACTGATTGTAAATGTGGTTTGGAGAAGCCTGGATGAGATCAGTAATATCATCAGGAAGCTGTTTGGATGGGGACTGTAATAAGATGATAACCTCATCTGTTCTTGAAACTGGAGTCATAAATTTCATGCAGAACACAAACACTAACATCTGCGATGTGTCTGATATGAGCCCAGGGTGGATTAGCGAATTAACGGCTGACGAGAACTGCGTCTACCTCAAAGTTATTAGGCTTGATTATTTTGGATAAGCCGCAATGGAGAAGATCAGTTTGCTTGGCGGCGGTTCCAGTATATTTCAGTTTATCACAGGCTGGAGTCTTAGAAGTTCCTCAGTTACTGTTAAAGTTGTAGGGAAGTCATATTTAAATGTCAAATCATTCTGGTTTAAACATTTATTTAAATGACATTGTCCCAAAAGTTTGAAAATTTCTATTTAAAAAAAGAAATCCTGTCTTAGAATCTGTGGGGGGGTGTTTCATTATCTTATGCAGGCCAGTTAGTTATACATCAGCTTGTACACCTAAATTCAGCCAATCATATATTAAAGGTCATCTGTCAATCAATTTTTTAACCATGGGGCACCATCCCAGTGTTTACAGGGATGGACGTCTGTGTCTTCAGCAGGCGCAGAGCTAACAGAACTGGCAGCGTTGCGAGGCAAGGGCTCAAACATGTACGGCTGTAAGCCTTCTACAGCAAACCAAGCATCTGCCGCCCTGGCGTCCTCTTCTACTACAACTTTGTCCCGCTTTCCTCCTCTTAATAAATAATGTATGATGGAGGAGACTCATCTATGACCTCCGACACTAAACTCTCCTCCTCTTGCATGTTTCCGCTGTCCATGGCGTTCCTTGACAGTGTCGTTGCTAAGTGCTACTTGGTCCCAATGGAATTTCCCATTGGGAACCTACTAGGGGTGGAACGGTTTACAAAATCCACGGTTCAGTTCGGTTCACGGTTTCGTGGTCACGGTTTTCGGTTCGGTAAATGTTGATTGTTAGGAAAATCTCTAAGCTGACATGTTGGACGTGTTGCTGTTAGCATAATCAACACGTGTTGCACAATGCTAGCACACTGTAGCACTTTTATCCACAACTTTCTTTCCGCCGTCATCGTAGGTCACTTAATGCAAAGTGGTCCCATACAGCAGACCTATAAAGTGCTGCTGGCGCGTCTTCCAACTCCTGTTCTTTCCCACTCGCCATACCCACACAATTCTCCACAACAACTGATTTTTTTCTGCTACACCCGGCTACGCTGCTTCGCTTCTTCTTCATCTTGTTTACTACTGGTGGTTGGCTTTGGTCACAGTACCGCCACCTTCTGCTCTGGAGTGTACACGCTTCGCCTATGAGAAAAAGGAGCAGCGCATGAACCGAACGCAACACACCAAACCGAACGGTTCGGACGGTTTTCATAAACCATTCCATCCCTAGAACCTACTAGCACTAAGTTGCTAACTGGTTAGCAAGATGCTTCCGAGACACCGGCTACAATGAAACTTGCTTGCGAACCTTCCGCCACAACAATCCTGCCCCTTGATAAACAACCAATCACCCTTTATTCCCTTTATTCACTCGTGTAAAGTCGGGCACCACTCGGGAGAGTTCGGAAACGCAACGGTTGGAACAGCCGCCTCCTTACGACTTTAAACATCCCAACCATCTTCCTTCCAGAAGGGGTTAGTTTGAGTCAGATTGAACACAGCTGGGTTCCAATACCACAGGGACACCAATCACAGATCAGAGATGGACTAACACTAAGAGGAATGCTTCTAATTTATTTAATATTTATGCGCAATGCTTTCAAGCCACTTTGATTAAACAGACATGATGAATATAAGACACAGGCCTAAGATTAGCCCAGCCCAGAGCTGACCCTGCAGTTTCCCAAGACAACTTCTAATGTGTTTTTGGCACAGGCAAAGGGGATTCAGGGCGCTTGGATCAATGATTACCCATAAATGACTCCTCACTCAGCCATTAGGGTGTCTCAGTGCGACTCCCC